AAAACATTTACATCGGAATCCGGATTTAAACCCACGACCAATAGGATGATAATATGTATCTATGACCATTAGACTACGACAAACATACAGTCATTTAACATAACATATAATATCCGCATAATTTTAGAACTTTAAAAAGCTATTATTTCTAAACTTAGTCAGTTCGTTCAACCTTTACCATCATTCTCAAATCGGTAATATACATATGTTCAAAACAAACAATTGAAAAATTAGATTTATTCCACATAAGTTTTTACTCGAAAGATTTTCGTCAAAATTTAATATTAAAGTTCCTTTATAAAAAAAGAAATACTACATTAAATTCAATTTTTTTTTTTTTGACCACAAAGTAAGACTTAATGAACCTCCTGTTAAATTTTCACGCATTTCTGTTTAATCTAACAATTTTCTGGACAATATTTCCTTTCAGAAAACAATTACCTATCAGAGCAAGATTTCTAGTAGAATTTTTATACACGGTATAAAAAAAATAAAAATAAATAAACATCTTTGTAAAACCAAAACATTCTTCGCTAGACTTAGAATTTTTTAGAAAAAAAGGCTAGTTTTTTTAGTGAAAGAAATAACATTGCTTTTATCAATATTTACTAGCAATAAATTTTCTTTACATTATGTGCACCATCTATCTAAATTTGGAAAGATTCTAGTTTAGCTCCCATTTTTTTTTTAAAATGTGTGTTTTTGCGTGTACACCAAGAATGTAAAAAAAAAAGTAGGACGAACTTCGTTTAGAAGTTTTGAGGGAAAACTTCATGAAGTTTGGGTTTTCCGTTTCGCGTATTTCTAAGTTATAATTTAATATTTTTAAAATGGGTATTTTTTTTAAGCTTAATCTATTGGTTTAATCAAAACTTACCTATCATACTTACTTTTATATTTTTTGTACATAAACCTTAAAAAATAGCATTTTTAAAATTAATCCAAAATGTGGCAAATATTTATTATTATTATTATTTGTATTTATTAATATTTTGATAACTAAGTTTTTTTTATTGAAGTCAGAATACGCCTATCTGGCTTAGTTTTAGAGTTACGGACGTTCAAATGCGCCGTGTTTCGCTGCACTCACTCGGACAATATTAATCGAAAATAACTATCGATTTGTTGTGCAAAGTCACGTCGGGTATGTAACAGGGTAAAGTAAAAAACACTATAGATGGATTTAGAGATCTAATGTGGTCACTCTCTAGAGTTATTTTCGATTAAAATTATCCGAGTGAGCGCATTTGTAACTCTAAAACTAGGCCAGATAGACTTACTCTGACTTCAATGAAAAAAACTTTGTTATCAAAATATCAATTACTACAAATAATAATAATATTGAAAAAACGTCTATTTTTGACCTATTTTCGGATTAATTCAAAATACGCTATTTTTCAAGGTTAATGTACAAAAACTTGAAAAGTTAGTATGATAGGTAAGTTTTGATTAAACCAATAGATTAAGCTTAAAAAAAAATGCACATTTTGAAAATGTTAAATTTTAACTAAGAAATAAGCGAAATGGAAAATCCGAACTCCGAACTAAAATATAATGATAATTCTTTTACATTTGTCACGTAAATTCGAAATCTCAATAAAATCAGATTGTAACGCACTTATTTTACATTTGTTTGTAAGTTGACTAGGTTATTATACAAAATAGTATTCTGGTAATTAAATACTATGCATTTAGGGACAAAAATTTCAATAAAATGGTTTATATTTTCATAGAATTTATTAATGACGAAATATATTGGTAGGTACTTAAATTATAAAATGATTGATTAAAATCAATATTCGACAAACACTTAGACAAGCTTGACAAATTGCATTTAAGAAAAATTATAAAAAAGTTACATTGTTACTATCTTTATCAACGAATAAGTGATCAATATTACAAATATTCTAATGGAGGATGGTGGTCATCAGCCAATAGAACCAAAGAGTACCCTTTAAAGACAGTTGTATTTGGTTGTCACTAAATATAAGGTCAAGAGTTCTACTATTTTTGTTTTTTATGTGATTTAGTTGCTTTAAGTTTAAAAAATGTATACAGGAATTAAAAATAACATTAGCTGTGGGATGAATTGCATGAGAATAATCTTTAAACCAGTCATAATTACTTAGGTAAGTTAAAATCCCCAGCAATAAATAGGTATTTTGAAGTCAAGGTTATTTGAAATAATATTCTCAATTAGTTCACAATGTTCATAATAAATTTATCTACCAACAGAAGGTGGAATATATACAAATCACCAAGACTTGAATAAATTTAAAAATAATTTTTATAAATACCTACTTGTTCTATTCCAGTAATAATAGGTTACATCAATTGCATTCATTCACATTTTATTCCAAATCGTACACCAATTAAAACGCCACCGCCTCTTGTTCTTAACTCATTTTAATGTGTCCATACAGAAAATATGAAAATTATTTAGATCCAGCTCAGAGTCATTTACGATTCAGCCATTTTTTGGTCAAGAGTAATAAATTACAATCAATTACACTTATACAACTACGAAAATAAAACTATTTGTTCAAAAGACCTCTTATATTTTAGTATTGGTAATTAGCATTAAAACTTAAAAATGTTGACGATTATTAACAGCTTTATCAAGCTTAACTAAAGTACCTACTATAAGTATAACTTCTATAGTGCTTTAGCTTAACTATACAGTAGACCTTTGATAAATTTGATTGTGAGAATTTTCTTATCAGTTTATACCACTGGAAAGTCCCGAAATGATTTAATCAAAAATCAAAAATGTATGTTTATGTTTGTGATTTGAACTAGAAAATAGAAAGGAATCAATTAATTATATATTTATATTTATTGGAGGCAATTCAAGTGAATATTTTTGAAATTGGGAAGCAATTTGTGTGCGCTCCAAAACCTATCTTTAAATTTAATGATTAGAGCAAGAAAAGTTGTTTATAATAACTAAAAAATGTATCAATGAACACGTAAAACAATTCTGAGTTTGGCCAAACTCAGGCCTTTTTGTTAAACATTTTATTAAATTATAACTATAAAGGTAGTAGCTATAAAATAAGTTATAATTTTTCTCCTTAAATTTTATTATTTATTTTGAATTTGAAACTTTACTTAAAATAAATGCCTACATTTCCTGTAGGTAACTTTTTTTTTACCACTATAAAGCTTATATCAAATTGCTTAATGTTTTTATAGAGCGAAACAATTATATCCACATAAAATATTATTATTTTGTTAGATTAGTAAGTTATTGTATTAAAAGTATTACAATTAGTATTTTTATTTTTTGCTTCCATCATCACTCAACTCACCATGTCAAGAAAAATCTTCAAAGATTAATGGAGCCAATGGAGAAGATAAAAAAATTATATATATATTATATATTCATTTGTATGTCTGGATATTAATTTATAAAGAAGTTTTATTTAGAACAAAAATATAATCACTATATAGTCTGCAATAGGTATTATAGTATAGTCAAGTTCGCTTATAACGATCTTCTAGGGACCTAGGGAATCTGATTGTTATAACCGTACTTCGTTATATCCGGATCATAAAAAGTAACATGATTTTTTTAAAAAATTGATTTATCAAACATATTTTTTACTTTTTAATTTTATTTAAGATTACATATTTTAACATTCAAGGTATTTATATAAATTTTAATAAAAGTTTATTTATTTATTCTTTTATTTGACATTTTTAACTTATTCGGATCGTGTCTAAACGGATAGCAATCAAAATGGAAACTAAACAACTNTGCATATTATTAATCGCTATGGGTGATTATAAAAACCAATTTTCGTTTTAAAATAACATCGCTATATCCGGATTATCGTTATAATCGATATTAATATTATATACCGATATTATATATGAATAGAAGTATTATACATAACATATAAAACCAACCAAATACATTGATTGGAATTGTTTTACCCGGAATATCGTTATACGCGAATTTGACTGTATTTAAATACCATAAAACTATAATATTTACTAATAAAAGATAAATAAAAATAAAAAATTATTTGAATTATGAAATATTTATAAAATAATATATAGGTAGGAGACAGTTATTGATACTCCTGATATTTTTATAACATGTATGTTATAAATTAATTAATAATTAAGCAGCTTGAACTTTATTCCAAATAAATATTCTTTTTTTTTTGAATTACTATTACTATATGTAAATGTAATTTGAATATAACAATTATATGTTTAGGAAATTGCATTATTAAAGACTTATAATTACTATAATAACTAACTATAATAATACTATTTATTATATGTAACTAAACCAGTATGATGTTGGTGATATTACTAGATACCTTACTATTTAGATAAATATATATTTTACTATTTAAAATACAATTCAAATTGTTGGGTAGGATCAGGCATGTTTAATTGTTAAAGTTCCTTAATTCATATTGCACAAATATTCCATTGGAAACCTAAGCCATAACCAGTGAAAACTGACAACTAATGACTATATATGGTGCCATATATTTACATCATATCTATAATATAGGAAACTTGTAAATAAAAATAATATTTCTATAATATCAAAATTGTTAATTACCTTTATTATTTGACTCAGTTAAAGAAAATTTTTTAGGTGTTAAAATGTTTAAAATAATAACAATAATATTATTGTAACAAAAAATAATATAAAAGTTTTAATTATAATTTTGTATATGTATATTTTTACGAATTGATGGCTCCTTAAATGACCTACTTGAATATTTTGCATACACTGCATTATTTATAATAATGTATAGGACTCATATCCCTATATTCTAAACTAAATAATAGATTTACCTGAACCCCACCTATACAATATACAATAATAAAAACAAGTGGACCACTGTTGTAGGTGAGAAGTTGGGAAAGTAAGATATATGGAGGGGAATTTAATGTAGATATATCTGTATAAAAGAATTAATCATTGCTAATGAAAAATGATTCTGAACGGAGTTCAGTGAATGTTTTGAGAGGCCATAATATTTAAGATTTGAAAATAATAAATTTTGTACATTTTCCCGATTTTTGTCATTCATTAAGAAATATACTAAAAATAATGTATCAGAGATGAACTAATTAGTCTAAGTATGCTATTGACCCAAAAAAGATTCTAAGATTAAAAAATGAAAGGGTACTCATATTGAATTTCATAAGTAAATGATTTTGTACCACCATGATGTATCATTGTTGGAATTAATCAGTTGAATTATCGTTTGAAGTTGCTTGATCCAATTGATTACTACCTGTCTTGATTTTGTATATGAAAAATGCAAGATCCGATTTTTCATGAACTGGTATTGTTTTAAAATCTTTTTGGATTATCTGAAACATTTTTTTTCATATCTATTAGAAATGTGTATTAATAGAAAGCACTGAAAGCAACTATAAATTACTAAAATCAAAAAATAATTCTCAGTCTATTATTATCAGTTGTCTTTTTTCCCTTATAGTTAAAATAACCCAGAATTCGTCTAAAATCAAATGAATCTATTGACATTTGCTGTCAGTTTTTAAATTGTATAGAAAACTTTTGAGAATTAAACAATTTTTTGTAAATAAATTATGATTGGAATAATTTAGAGTATTTTTATTAACCGAAAAAATATGTAACAAGCCTGTTTATAATATCTAAGGTTTTTAAGTTAAGTCAAATTTGAAAACTCTTCATCTTTTAAAGTACTGCATGCAAAATTTGGAACACTTTCGTGAAAAACATATAAATATATATAATATTTATATAAACATTTTTAAAGTATTTTAAATTTTAATAAAGTTCAAATAAAGTACCACTGCTCAATAAAATGTAGGATGTAGGCTCTGTAGAATGTTACAAGTTGATTCATGTGCAATGGGGGTAGTCAAATATTAACTTTGCATAAACTATTTGTGTATTGCTGAGGTCACAAACTGGTAGACCCTGGACACTTTTTTTAAGGACCCTTGTGTGTGAAGTAAAGAAATGTATCATATACAATTTTTATTGCCACCTAAAAAGTTATATGACGAAACTGTTTAGAATAATCTGTATTTCTTTAATCATAAATCAAGAAAAACTAATGTGGTAATGTCAAATATAAATCCAATAATAAATAATAAGATAAGAATGTTTGGAGGTAAAGAGTTTCAGAGTATAAAATTAGTATTCAATTTTCTTTTTCAATTATGAACTTTATAAAAAATAACGACTTAATGAAAACAATCAGTTAAACTAACTTCATCAAAAATATTAAGTAACACCTTTAAAATGAAAATTAATTTTTTGATTTAAATCTTACAGTCTTAAAATTAAAACAGTTATAATTGTCTAAACTTGTACTTAAACTATTATTATAAAACAGATAATATTTAATAAATAAATAAATATAATTATAAATACTAATTTAAAAAAAAAAAATTTAATTTGTTATTGTGTGAATGAAAACTGCATTATTAATGTTTTAGACCAGGGGTGTCCAACCCGCGGTAGATTTCGATGTGGCCCTTGCTTCAATTTAAAAACCATGAATTAATTATATATAATATATTAATATTACGAGAACAAATTTATTTTAAAAATATAAACCATCAAATAACGTCCGTGTTTTTACCGTTGCGGCATCTTATGTTATCTTATATTACATACGGACATGTGCATCGGACCTAAAGATAAACATTATTAGTGTTTTATCTTTATTGGCTCCGATACCAATATTCTGTGTCATTTATCAAAAAATAAAATACCTAATAATTTGATTTGTATAATAAACTAATAATCAAATAGCGAAATGTCGTCCAATAAGAAAAGAAAAGTAACGGATGAAGGAAGAATATTCAACGAAAAGTGGACAGCGGNACATGCAACCAAAATGGATTCCTATCAAGGTTTTTTTCGGAAACAAACAATTTTAGAGTTAAAAACATGTCTTTCTTCTCAGCCACTCACTATTAAAAAAGCTACTTCTGAGTCCCTAACCGTTACAAAAACTTTTTTTATTATAAATAAATATATTTTTCTGTGTACTTATAATTAAATTATTAAATATCAATACTTGTAAAAATATTTCTGCTTATTATTCGCTAATGTAAAATTATAAAAAAAAATGTATTGTTGTAGTATAGATTATAATTTAATCATTAAATTAGAATGTATTATTATTTAAAAAAGTATGTGGCCCACAACAACTTCTACCTACATGATGTGGCCCAGTATTCACAAAAGGTTGGACACCCCTGTTTTAGACCATGTGAATTTAAACACAGAATGTAGAAACTAGTTGTTGACCCTTGGTCCATTGTATATTCAATCATAAAACTAACAGATTTTTTGATATATTCTGAATCTAAAAATTATGAATATAATATTAAATTACTTTAACAAAAATGTTTTTTTAATACCCTTTTAGGGAATAAAAAATATATACCTAAATAAATATAAAATATTATATAATTTAAATGGAATCAAAGCTCTGAGTAATATCATTTATTTAATTAATTTCATTGTTGAAGAAAATTTTGAAATACATAATTATTTAAAATAAAGAGTTTTTGTTTCTTATAACTCCGCCACCAACATGGGTTTTTCTAACAAATCAAGTTTTTTTTTTAATTTTATTAATAGTCTGATATGAGCTTACACCCGAGTTGAGTGTATCATAACTAAAAAGAATATGTGGTGGAGAGATAACAAAGAAGTAAATATTTTATGAACAAATTATAATTATTTATAAAAATCCATAATATCAATTTAAAAATACTTTATAAATATTACTAGTTTTCTACAAATTATAATTATTTTAGTAGAAAATTACCTCTATCATTTGAGACTTCTTTGTACTCGGTTTTGTTTCTATGTTTCTAAATTTTTTATAACGGTTAAGTGTGCGGATTGACAGCTGTGAAAAATCCACTTTAGGTGCTTTTTCCTGTAATGCCGTAGCCTTACGTTGATTTCTGTCTCTGATTTCACGTTGAATCATATTCTTGTGGTAATCACAAATGCAGATATGTTTGGCCTAATCAAATATTTGTCATTAAAAATAGTATATATATATATAACTCAAATTCTAAACATACAACATTATCTAAATGTAATTTCAGTTCAATAACAATTTTGTGTATTCTTTTACTATATGAAGCGTTTCCTGCTTGTCGGTGACACCGTAATTTATTTTCTTGTAAACAGCATAAATTTTCATAAGGAACTCCTTCAAAAAAATCAAAACCATCATTTTCTTCCATTTCCTAATGTTAAAAAAAAAAATTACTTTGCTTTATTATTACTAGAATAAATAAATTTAATATTTTAATTAAAAAAAAAAAATTCAAGTATTTTTTTATGTTCAAATTAATGATATAAATCATCTTGTAGAAAACCATAACATACTATAAAACAATTAACAGTAGTTTATTGAATGTTAATTTTTTTCACGCTTTTTTGCTAGAAATTAAAACGGCTATTACTGAGAAACTATTCATCAGAAGTGAATTTGTGATGCATTCAAATTTTTAGAATAATATCTTTTATAAAATGACCATATTGAAAATTTTTTAAAATTAATAAATAAAAAGTTATTTATTTTTGTGTTTAGGGGATGAAAATATAAATTTAATTTTTCTCCAAATTGATGTTCCCTCGAAGACAAACCGATTTAAAAAAAAAGTTTAAAAAAATTTAATACTAATCGCTTTAAAAAAATCCATTGAACATAGTGGGACACTCTGTATGTAGGTTTTAAGTGATAAGAGAATTCCAATAAGATGTAAGTGTAAGTGTAAAGCTACAAAAGTGTGATGAGACTGACTCTGTTGAATAGTTCTGAGTGTCGAATAGACAGAAAAATATAACAGATCATGGGTATAACATAGATGATAGTGCTCAAATACATGAACTTAGTCGTAGGAGAAAAATGAAAGAAAATGGACTTAGATAGTTTGGGTATGTAAAGAGGAGAGGAACCATAAGCAGTAAGAATTGTAATAGAAATAAATCTAGGAGGAAAGAAAGGAAGAGGAAGATCGAACTAGGTCGTTGGATGCGACTGAGAATGATATAAAGGATACACAAATACAGTCAGTGTATGCGAGATGGGCGATTGGGTGAAGTCGAAGTTTAGGAAGAGTATGATTGAACTTAGATAGTTAGAATAAAGGCTAAAGAGAAGAAAAAAAGAAAACATCTATATCTATATTATATAGATATTTTTATATCCATTTATAATATTTATTTTGTAACAGCTGGCAGCTAATATATTGTAGTATAGAACTCATTTGCAAGATCTAAATGTTGTACAATCATAAAAATGGTTTTAAAGAATGATACAATGAAAAATTTAACCATACATTATGTACTTATGTACATTGATGGTGAAAAATTTATGAATATTTACATATAAGGCATTTATCGATATTTTAATATTTTTTCCCGGGTCCAAGAGCCATACTCCAACCTTATGTCTAATATAAATTTATAAACAATCGGTACCTAATAATCTCTAATAGGTTTCAATAAATATTGTGATATAAAATTTAATATAGATACTGATAAAAATCTACTTACATTTGTATTTACTTCAAGTAAAAATAGTAATTTCAACACTGTGTTAAATGAAAAACAATTTAATTGACAACACTAGTAATGAAAAATAAAATCAAATGTAATTGTTAAATAAATTTATAAACAATCGGTACCTAATAATCTCTAATAAGTTTCAACAATTATTGTGATATTCAGTTTAATATAGATACTGATAAAAATCTACTTATATTTGTATTTACTTTAAGTAAAAATAATTTACACACTGTGTTAAATGAAAAACAATTTAATTGACAACACTAGTCTTTAAAAATAAAATCAAATGTAATTGTTAAATAAATTTAAATGTGTGAGAATAGAATATTATGCATTAGGCTTTGGCATAATAAAATTAACCTAACAAATGAGACACTGTATACAACTATGCCAGCAACTTAACGGAAATATCGTCCATGGAATAAGCAACAATTTATCAGTTACACCATGATTTAATGACGTCACTTATCCTAGTGAACGGTAGGGACGGACGGGAGGGTGCAAAAAACTGTTATGTTGGTATAAAACTCAAAATTAATATAATAATAATTATGAACACGAGTGAAAAGACGCCGATCTGTGCAAATAAATGTGGTCCAAAATTATCGCAAACCGGTAGAATGCGCTTCGGTCAGTAATGATGTACTGGTGTCGGTTTTACATTTAAAGTATAGTTAATTAATAATATTATAATCGAAATGGTAAAAGTATTGAATAATTATTATAAAACGTTTTTTTAAGACCAAATTGTCCTAAATCGAATAGATGTATTTCCAAATATATACGACTTTTAAACTAAAAGATATAATTTTTTTATTTAAATACTTTCGAATTTTATATACCGTTATCTATCACGATTAAAGATATACCTTATATGTATATATATATCTTTAATCGTGCTACCTATGTAGGTTGTACCTATCAATAATACAATGTCAATAAATGCGTGTTATCACGATTCACCTATCACAAAGTAGGTATCTATAATATTTGATCATTTGACGATTCTCAAAATTCACATCGACTCATCAAGTATTAAAGTTACGACCATTTAAAGATAATAACCTTCGGTAGATATAAGTGTAGTTTAGCTACTACGTGATTTTCGCAATTTTTTTTTTTATTCGAAACCTGGGTAAATCAATGTCTGTTATAAAAATGATGATGTCAAAATAAACTTCCACAAATCGTTAGTTTCTGAATTATAGTGATTTGAAATTTGAATTTTTCAATAGCTTCGTTAAATAGGTACCTAATTTGATATATTTATTACATTTCATATGTGCCGCAGTACTGAAGTAGTTGTAACGCTGGTTGGTCATGAGAAGATTCCGTGCTGACGTACCGACTTTAGTGCACTTTTTTTACGATTTCTTAAATTATTAATTTTTTAAAATATGAAATTGATGAATGTATACAATTTCTAATATTTTTTATTTATTAAATTAGACATACCCATTTTGCACAATTTATACATACATTCATTTTTTCTCCTGTTACTTACCCTACGTGATTTATCACAACAAATCGAGGATTATTTTCGTTATGATGGTTTAAAATCTTTGTTTTTTCTCTTGTCACCTACCCGACGTTCGTTTTGCACAATAAATCCAGTAAATGAACAATTATTCAGTGTACATATTTTTTTCCGTTGTTAGCCCTCTGTATAAAATACCTAGATATTAAGTAGGTACCTACCTACTTATTATTACTATATTACTTACTAAGTACAAACTAAAAAGCGAAAAATTAGTGTTTCTCTAGTGTCATGGACTTAACCTAATTACCTAAACATAGGAAATCAGTGCCGTATTTATGATTTACACAAAAATTCGCTCTTTTTTCTCAATCTAACCAATAAAGAGCAATAAAAGTATCCTCTTAAAACAATTAAATGATGGCCCTAGAGTACCTAGTCCGTGTCCCCAATACAGAAATTCAACAAGTTAGGCACTCCCGTGAAACTTTTTTTCTACATTATTACATTAATGCACTTTTCAACAAACTGTTTGCTGGATTCTGTAAACATATATGAGTGGTGTTTACTGGACGGCTATTCTGCAAAATAAAAACTCGGTACGCCAATAACGCACACACTTACTGCTATTCCAACTCAAATTCTCACTTGGTGTACTTCGCTTAATGTTGCGTACTTGTTCCTTAAAGTATGCCAACTACGACATGTCCTATTGTATTTGTATTTAAATTATTTGTTGATTTGAATATTTTTCCAAGTTGTTATCATCGATCGTTATTATTATTTGTAGATTCGAACGGAGCGAGGAACGTATTGGTTTTACAATGATGTTTATTTATTATTATTATTTTTTTTTTTTTTTTATACTGTTTACATAAATTCTACTAGAAATCTTGTTTTAATTTTCAAGTGTAGCATCTTTTCTGAAAAGAAATTTTCCTATGGGAGTACTTTGGGGAGGTCATTTTTCAAAAAAATTTATAAAAAACTTAGGAAAACGGAAATGTACGAAAATAATGATTTTATTATTTTCAATTTTAGTTTCGAAGTTTAACGAGGAATCTATTAATGATTTTACTATGATGAATATTTTTTTTTTTTTGTAATTCAGTTAAAAACGTGAAACAAGACTTGATATTTAAACAGAAAATTTATATTTGCTTTTTATAGACATGGTAAAATGTTCAAAACATTTAAGCCATTTTAAGCTATTTATAGACATTTTAATTTTTGGAGTTTTTTACTTAATATTTCTTCGGTAGGTACTTTATGGATACAATTTTTAGATCACCTAAATGCTTGAAAATTTAACAGGAGATTCATTATAAGTTGTATTTGGTGGTCAACAAGAAAAAGATGAGTTTAGTGTAGTATTTTTTTTTTTTTTTCAATAAGATTTTAGTATCATATTTTGACGGAAATTGTAAATATTACGACCTTTGAAAACAGGTATGACCGAATTCCGCTCAGAATCGTTTTTCTTTTAGCAAATTAATCGTTAAATACAAAAATACATTAAATTCCCTTCTTACCTATCTGTATCCTACTTTCCCAACTTCTTACCTACAACGGTGGCTCATCAATTCGATGGCAATAATTATAATAATGGCAAATACAAAATTGTATTATATTTTTAATGCTAAATTATATTATATATAGAGTTTACCTATACAATAATGATATAAAAAGGTTACACAAATATTTTGAACACCCTGTACCGTAAATATAATTAAGGAAACTGCTGAGAAAATTAAAAAATAACCTCTTTAAAGTACCTTCCCTGGCAGATATCCTTTCAGAAAAAATGCTACACCTGTAAATCAGAGAAAGGTTTCTGGTGAAAAGTTGCCTACTGAAAAAAAAAATATAAACCAAAATCTTTGTAAAACAATAAGCTTCTTCACCCCACTCAGAATTTAAAATAAACATCATTGTAGAACCAATACATTCCGCTCCACTCAGAATCTAAAATACTTATATTTCAATAAAACATATATTTTAGTGAACAGAATTATAATTTGTGAAATATTTTACATTTGGAGCCTATACATAACACCAAATCAGTAATCACATAATCGTAACCACATTTTACAATATTTCATCTAACAGGTATATACAATTTAGGCGTAGGTTTAACAAGTATACCTATTATACCTGTTTTAAAGGTGCAAGCCACAAGGTAATCTACATTATATC